AAAGAAAGTAAATGTAGTTTAATGGCTATATTAATAAGTTAGATTTTGCAGTATGTAAATACTGAAGTATAAATGTAGTCGTGGGCTGGAAATGGGACACTTTCCACTTCAAGTTCAATATCAAAATCATGTTATTATGCAATAGTAAACTACCCAGATTTTGAAACCATGACATTTACATTTCTACAGTGAAGTTTAAGGACTACAGGTACATATGAAAGCTTATCACACACTAATAGCTGGAAATGACAAACCCTTTGGGTTAAGTCTCACAAAGAAAGTTGTGTGTTGGTTCATTTAGAAGGTGGAACATAAAGATTTGTGAAGCAAAAAAGATTTCCAAAGACATGTTATATATGATTTGTCTTCTGTTACAAAAATAAGTATAGATGAAAATGCCCGGGAGTATTTGGAAACTAAAATCACAGAAATTACTTTAGACTTTATAGTGTGAACAGCTATCTGATCATTAATACAAGTATACTCAAAGAACATAGATTCAAAGGAATTAAATCCAGACCTCTGCAATCACAGGCACAACTTAATATAATTTCTTCTTTAAATATCTTTAAAGTATGGCAATTGTATATAATAAACACACATCTTTCAGTAAAAAAAAAAAGTAGAAATTTACTGTACAGTGCGAGTGTGTGGTTTTGCTAAATGATACCAAAAAGATTGCATTTGTTTTTTAAATTGATTTGGAAAGAAAAAAGGTCTTGTAAGTAACATAATAGATTTTAAAGCTCTCATTTCCATCCTTCTTTCTGCTCATTGTTCTTCAAATTTCTTGCTTCTTTACTTTTCTCTTTGTCTTGCACAGACCACCAGACTACACCCACAATCACATTTGGGAAACTTTCCTGCCATGTGGTTTCTGCAGTTTCCCTCTGCTTTTCATCACTGGGAGAAGGTTCTGTCCTTGTGTTCAGCTGGTTTCACAGACGATTATTGAATCTCTTTTCTTTTACTTACTGCTGGATTGTTTATATATTATTCCATCAGTTTAATTGGACCATGCTCCTTTACAAAATGTGGAAAGTATAAGCTTGTCAGAAGAGAAATTTAACAAGTAGGATTATAATCACCTGGAAAGAAAATATGTACCGGTAGGAAAATAGAAAATGTACATATTAGTTTATTAAGATGGAATACAAATTATCTTACCTCTTCATGAAGTATCTTTCAAGAGCATGATGATAATACACAGATATCTGAACCATGCAAAAAAGCAGAATCATTTTCATGTGTAGCAGGGCCCCTTTCAAATCTTAGACACTTTTACTATAGAGTTCACCTGTTGAACAGAAGCCTTTCTCATTTGTTGAGCCAATATTTAGACACAAGGTAATGCACACTTCTGTAGTAAGTTTCAATGAACTGAAGTTAATGTAAAATATCTCATTTTCTTTCCTTCTCCTGTGTCTGCTCATTTAGCTGTCTAGCCCTCTGATACATACAGGTAAGAAATTTCTGTGTAGAAATCTTTCTCTGCAACCCATTATCTACTGCCTTTGGTCAAATTTTAAAATCTCAAGACAGGCATGAAAACTGATATCACAAAATATTGTTTTTATTCAGGTGATTGTAGATGCATTTACATTGTGGTACATATACACTAGCAATGATAGAGAAACTTTTATGCTAGCATATCCATAGGAAACACGCTGTAACCCACCTCCCTTTACATGCAGCTCACATGGTAATAGAAGTGGCAGAGCACTGCCCTTCCTTGTCTGTTTCTCTCAGCTGCTTTTCTGAGTCACAAACCTTTATTGTCCTTCTTCTGCATAAACATTTAGATCCTCTTTTGGCTTCTGTGAGGACCTCTGTTATTTGTTCATTCTGGGTTTTTTAGGACTTCAGCACGAAGTTTGCTCTTGGATACCACCCTTTTTCCACATGCTGTGGCTTCTGGTTTTGACTCTCACAGTATATGGCTTTAACCTCTCTCTTCCAGTCCGAAGAATTGCACCGCCTGTGGTGGAAAATGTTTCGTTCCTGATGGGCCTACCCACTGCTTTTGCTTTCTGTGAGAAGGAAACATCACAGCTAAGAGTTCTGTTTGGCATTTGGACCCAGAACTAAAAAAGATGAACTGCAGCATCCTCTGGAGTTTTTATTTACCAAGTCCATGAGCAATTTGATGGATTTGCTCAGCAAAGCTAACAGAATACAATTGGACCCTACTGTGTTCATAAATCAGCCCCCAAAAAGAACTAAATATAATCAAAACCATTCTTGGTCTCAGGGTCACTCCCTAGCCCTAGGAAGGTTCATACCATCCATGCTTGCACTTTCATGAAGTCCTAAGACCTTTCAGTCCAAAAAGCTTTCAGGAGAGTGTCTGGTAGTTTTTACTAAAAATTCTCCTGTTGGCCTGTTGAAGGAAGTGAACGAAAGAAATTCCACTTGCAGACCTTTCTTTCCATCTCTGCACAATTACCATCGCTGAGGTGCATAGGCTAAAATTTCTTCTACAAAGTTACTGCTGACCATTTGGCCAGTCACTTTTACTCTCTTTCCAGTGTAATAACAGTTTGGCACCAGGCCATCCAATGCCAACTGCAGATGTGCCACCACGATGTCACCAAGAATCTCGTCTGACCTATTTTCAGTTCCTATTTTCAATACCCTTTGTGAAGGGTATTTGGGTACTAATGGCATACTTTTACTAAATAGTTCCATAAAAATTAGATGAGTGTCAAAAAACACCTGAAGTTCTTGCCCACAGTGGTTTCTGACCTGTATCTATTTTGTAATCAATAGTTCATTTGCTTTTCTTAAGTTCTATGTTTCTACAGAAATCCTTAAGTTATCCATAATTAAATCATTTGCCAGTTTCTGTATTCATTGGACAAAGAACTTTAAAAGAACTACTCAGCTTTCCAGATCCACATTTGAAAGGCTGAAAATCTAACAAAAAAATGTTGGGCTGGATTATAGATTGTATAAAGAAGTCCCAATAATCACAAATACCTAAGCTTAGTATAGAGGTCCACTCAACTAAAGTAACTGATGGGCCCATTCAAGTAGAAACGGTGATTTCTCCAGATTACATTGCAATACTTGATATCCTCAGGTTAGGCACTTGAAGCTCCATCCACCCCTTTCCTAATTATTATGTTTACAATGAAATTTCTGAAACTGCTGATGCATTTTGCAGTGTTGTCTTTCAGGCTCTGTATAACTAGGCATCCTGAGAACCCCATCTAGGTGGTTGTTGGCAGAATGTTTCTTAGATTTACCCACAGATTGAATAAACATGTAAAAAATCATTCCAAGTAGATGTTCTTCTCTTCTGGCATTGTTTCTGTCCATGAGGAAACGGAAAAGAGATTGTCTAAAATAATGTAATCTTACATGGTGGAATATCTTACCAAAGAAAGAGATACATTTCCTTTCAAGCCTCTCAGTTTAACTGAGTGCAATGAATCCTGGTGTACAGCATTGGTCAGTGACTGTGTAACTTAATCAGCTAAGAATCTGTGCTTAAACAAAACTTAGATTTATACCCTGTGTGCTTTTAAGGGTGCATGAAGTACTGTATGCTGCATGTCACTTTATCAGATACTGTCAGTTCCTCTTTGCTTGAGGCAACCAAATGAATTCCATACCTGTTAGTTCAGTCTCACAATCCCAAACCTGCTGGTTTTCTCTGGTTTAGACATTGATGTGTAAACATGTGCTTGACAATTTGAATTGACTAATAAACACAAGAGTGCAGGCAATGCTGTGTCAGACCAAAGGTTCACTGACACAGTGTTCTGTTTCTCATACTAGCCCACAAGGGATGCCTAAGGAAAGGTAGAAGAACGGGGCAAACTCGTAGCCGTGGTTCTGCTCCCCAGAATGCTTTCCCACCGTCAAGAAATCTGTGGCTCAGGAACTTTCTAAATCTGAGGAAATACTTTTATGTTGAATAACCCTTAATGGATTTTTTTTCTGTTAATGTCTAGTTAATTTGTAACATGAAAACTTCTAATAGCCACTGCAATCCTGCTCCAAGGACTTCAGCATCTTAACTATGCTTTGTTCAAAAATAACTGTTTTATTCTGAACAGGCCACCTGCTAGTTTCATCTGATGCTCCCAGGTCTTCTGCTAGAAGAGAGATCCCTGTGTGCCCTTTCTGTTCCACTCAAGTTTCTATACACCTCTATCATACTGCTCCTCTTTTTTCTCTTTCATTGTCTTCAGTGTCCTAGTTGGTTAGTCATTTCTTCTACAGAGCAGTTCCTTACCTTTGATTATTCTTGTCATCTTTCTCTAAACCTTTTCTGATTTTACTATAACTTTTTCAAGATGGAAAAAATGGACCAGATTTGCATACTGTATTCAAGATCAAGGCATACTGCTTAGTTTTCTATTTCTTTTCTAAGAGCATACTTAGACATTTTTCCCAAGTCATGTTTGTGTCCTTTAGTCACATTTTACACCGATCATACTCTGAGGTGCACCATGGTTCTCCCACAGTTGCTGTCATGGCTTGTGTAACCTTCCCTCTTAAGTATTCCTGAACACTCATTTGCATTGATACAAGGAAATAATATACCACTCCTTTGTCTCAGCTGTCAGACTTAATGTAGGAAATAGAAGACACTATGAGAGCCTGAACAGGGGTGTCTATTGCTGTTCTAGATGCCCTAAGGTATGTGAGGCACCGACCTGGCAAATCTGATACGGCAAATAATAAGACTTGCACGCTTCTGGAGTGACAGCTTGAGGCCATAAAGAATACTCTGTGGTATCTAAAATGACGCTAGATACCTTTATTTAGGCATTGAATTTCTGCCTAGATGGTGGTATGTAAACCAGTCTAACTCTCATATGTCAATCAAGAGAGCTCTGAGTTCCAAATTAGCCGTATTTCTTGGTGAAGGCAACACAGCAATAGCTGCAGTTTTGAATAATTAGGTCATACTAATCTCTTTTTTTAACATTTGCATATAAATACAGATTGAATATTTTAAAATAATGTTTCTTTTGGTTCTCATTTAGGATGCTGGCGAAATGGTTCGATCCTTTGTTGGTGGCTTGGAACTGATAGTCAATTTGCTAAAATCAAAGAATAAAGAAGTTTTAGCAAGTGTATGTGCAGCCATTACAAATATAGCTAAAGATGAAGAAAATTTAGCTGTTATAACAGATCATGGAGTCATCCCTCTGTTGTCCAAACTAGCAAACACAGTAAGTAACTTCTAAACATAGTATACTAAGTATAAGGTTCCTTATGTCACACTGCATTATACCCAACTAAAAGGTTATGACAAAAGCAGTAGATTTTGCAGCAGCTACAAGGAAGGGCTGTAGAATCCTTCCTCTATGAGATGTATATTGGACATGAAAACACTCTGTGACTGATACTAAAATTGCTTTGGAAGATGAGCTTCATTTTAATAGTCACTGTTGCTGAATATTGCTTTTGAGAGATGCAGCTGCTGTATGAAAAAAGCACAAAGGGTCGAGAGAGCAATAAATCTGAACCATGCAGAGAATCTCAATGATGGGGCCATATGTTACATTTTAATGCTAATCTTATCTAATTTCCAGTCAGTCTAAAAGCACCTTTGAAATAATGTAAAAATTGACAGCACTTCCTACAAAGCGAATAATAAGGGACTACTAGCTCCATGCCTTACAGCTCTCTCCAGTTTTTAATTGTACTGCAGTTAAATTGGGATGCCTTAAAGATGTTTGAGAATACAATTCTGCTTTCCTATGAAATTTTTATTGTATTATGTTGTCTTTAATTTGTTATGTTTTTACCTTCTTCAGAACAATGACAAATTAAGACGTCACTTAGCAGAGGCCATTTCCCACTGTTGCATGTGGGGGAGCAATAGAGTTACCTTTGGAGAGACCAAGGCTGTAGCTCCTTTAGTACGCTACTTGAAGTCAAATGATCCGTCAGTTCATAGAGCTACAGCTCAGGCTTTATATCAGCTTTCAGAGGATCCCAACAACTGTATCACTATGCATGAAAATGGAGTGGTGAAGGTGAGGTGGAAGGTTTTTCTTATTTGGAGTTCAAATTATTGAAGGCATTTGGCATGGTCAAAAGAAGAGATTTTTCATTTGAAATAGTTCTTGAATACTGCTGTGCACCTCGGGTTTTCTGAGCTTTATCCTAAAAATGTTTGGTTAAATAGTGAATTAGGGAACAGTATTTCAGTGGTAAAGATATTACAGCTAGGTGGTTGTTAGGAATGGAAATATGGTATGGACATTCACCTCTACAGTACTTGACTTGGCTCTGACCTAGGCTGGTAATGATGTCTCATAAGCATTTTGTCATTCTCAAATGTCTTTTGCAAAAGAAGTTGGGTTATCTTAATGGATAGTTGCCTGGTATAGCAGAAAGTCACGTAGGAACTGAGTATAACTGGATTTGGGGACAAATTAAGACAGAATAATACAAAGGCTTAGTTTACCTGGAACTGTTTCAGTGAATTATACATTTACTTATAAAAAGTCTTAATTTACAAGTTAAGTATGAGCATATTCTGCAAAGACCTTACTTTTTCTCTCAAAAAGGTTTTTCTAGCAATGTTTTATCTCACTAGTTGAAGCCAGTAGAGTTACTTCTTTGGCACAGGAGAGGTAAGGATTATGGTCTTAGAGATGGAGATTGTAGGAGCTCTCAATTTTCATAAATTTCCTGAAAGATTAACTGTTTGAAGACTTTTCCTTTTACTTCATGTTCAGGTAAATGTATTGAAAATAGGAGTTGACTTATGATATAGTGTTACTATTAATGTTGAATTTATGCCTGCAATAATGATTGTGCACTTTATTGTGAGCAGTTTCAATTCTGGCATAGTCTAATGGTCCTGCATTATCATACATGTATCTGTAGTCAGGTTAAAAAGATCCACTGGTCAAAACTGTTTAAAGGCTCAGTTTAAATGCCAGTACTTGACCTGACTCAGATCTAAGCTGCCCTTTCAGTGCTGGAAAGTAACATCTTCCCATCACAGTTGCACTATACGGGCTACACAGCACAGGGGAAAATATTCTGTACTATAGCTCAATTTGAAACTAGTGTCTGATGACTTTTTAATGTTGCTTATCTTTCCATTCAACTGACACAACCCATTTTCTGCCCTCCTGTCATATGTTGTTTTCATTCATTTTATTATGCAAGTTTTAGGTTTTATAAGTTGTAGCACACTGAACACACCGTATAAAGCCAATTCTGATAATGTATTGTTGTAATGATTCCATCTCGGTCTAAGTTCATCTTTATTTTTCAGTCCTAGTTAAAGTATTTAGACTAATTAAAAACATTTATTTGCACTTGCAGATAAAAGGGACGTACAGAAAAGTATCACGGGTGTTTAATTTTTTTGTTATTCACAGTATTCTGGAATGACTATAATATGTTTTTACTTTCATTATAAATAACCCAGCCACCAAGCCAGGAAACATGAAATTGCTACTTTACCCTTAACTGGTTTAGTGGTGGACTTGGTAATGTTATGTTAATTGTTGGACTGGGTGATCTTAAAGGTCTTTTCCAACCTAAACTATTCTATGATTCTGTGATTCTATGTTAAGAGAGAGAAAATAGAACTGATGAAAGGAAGAGTCAAACTACAAAATAAAGGAACTTAGGTTATGTTTGGTGCACCTAAACTTTTTGTCCAGGTGCACTTCTCATGTACAAGAAAGTTGTATTTTTGTAATGCAGTGGACAAGTGTTTGAATGTGGTTTGTATGTGGGTCTGTCACAGAACTGAAGTGGAAGTGCCTCTCATCTCATAATTGATGGATGGCCTGAACATATGAGAGGATATATGACCAATTCTCATCACGTGTGCCAGCACACACATGTATTTGTATGATATAAGCAGATGTGCATTAGTAATACGACAGCAAGCACCTGCATTTGGTCCATGTTGAGACTAACAGCCACGGTAGCAGTTCTGTTGAAAACAACCTGGAGAGTAGGTTCAGCAAGCTGAACATGAGCCAGTAGGGTGCCCTGGGAGTGATGAAGGCTAACCAGATCCTGGGCTGTGTTAGCAGGAGCATAGCCAGTAGGTCAGGGATGGTGACTTAGCATTTATTAAAACACATCAGGAGTATTATGTTCAGTTTGGGCTCCAAGTCCAGTGGAGGGCCACGAAGATGGTTGGGGACTGAAGCACATGACTTGTGAGGGAACTGAGCTTGTCTAGGTTTGAGAAAGAAGGCCTTTGGGCAGCAGTGCCTAATAGCAGCCTGCCACTATCTAAGAGAAATTTACCAAGGTGACCAAGGCAGGCTCTTTACTGAAGTGCATGATAAGAGGACAAGAGACAATGGTCATAAATTGAATCTGATGGGTTCCACCTGGATATAAGGAAAAAAATTCTACTGTGACGGTAATGAAGCACTGGAACAGTTCCCCAGAGAGGCTGTGGAATCTCCATCCAAGGGAATTTAGACCTGACTTGACAAACCCAATCAGTAACCTGGTCAGAATTCAGTGTTGACCCTGCTTTGACTAGGAGGTTAGACTAGATGACCTCCTGAGATACCTTCCAACCCAAATGATTCTGTGATTCAGATCATCTGATTTCTATCAGATGGAAAATAATGAAAATAATAGGAAATACGGAAAATAATGATTGATCTTTGCAAAACACTTCTTCACCATCTTTTGATAATTAAGCAGTGTTCTCCAGCTTCTCAGTGGACTTTATTGAGACATACCCATGGCATATTCAATTAGGGAAAACAGCCAGTTGTGGTAATGAGCTTTCCCATTCACTATCCAGAAACAGTCACCCTGTCTAATGTGGCAGAAACTTTCTTCACTATACTAGTCAGATGGGTATCTCAAGAGAAATACTGTCAGAGGAACAGATTTAATCACTCTGTTGTTTAGATACTTAGGAACATGTGTAAGATAAAGTGTCTGAATTCCACTCCGTTTCATTCGGAAATGAAATATTCATTCCATGAACAGAAAATTCACTTGAATTTTAGGTCAGGGCTACAAATGTATGTGACTAAGAGACGCAGTGCTATCCCACATGCCTTGAAGTACTTCAAAATTCCATGAGGTTTGACTAATCCTCCTCTGTAGTTCACAACATCTCAGTTTTTTGGGGGAAAGCAGTCTGACTGCAAACAAAACTGATTCTGTAATGAATCTTCAAAATGCAGCCAAGCCTGATCAAGAATTAAGAGGTTAAAGAGCGTTAAGATAAAAACATCTGTGACCACACATTGCCATGAAGAACCTGGAATAATTCTTCATACCTGCTAAGCATCACAATATGCAAAAGTCTTGGGAAGGAGTTTTGGAAGTGATTCAGAATATCAGTGAAATCACCTCTAACCTTAAAAGGCTGTACTGTTGATTCATGCCATAAGCTGTTCAGTTTTGGTAGACTGGAATCTCTTCATAGCCAGGAGGTGACTGCGAACCAAATACATAGCCAGGAAAAGAAACATTATGATTCCTTACTGCTCATTTTTCTTACTGGCAGTAAAAAATGAAGTATCCTTGGAAGACACTAATTTACTTGAAGGAGCAGTTCTTGCTAGTCCCCAAAAAAGCAAAAATAATGGAAGTTTGGCAGAGTGTGTTTTCAGATAAACTGAATCAAACCGGTCAGATGGTTGATGTCATCCATACCAACCACTGTCAGCCAATGCACAGTCAAATGTACTGAATAAGTGTAAATCTCCAAGAGATATGTCCAGCTCTTCAGGTAAACCGTCTTCTGTTCAGTGTTCTACTGAAGTCAGTGTGTATAGCGTAGAATCTGAAGTCCTAGGATCACCCAGCAAATGTGTAACAATGGGGTGTAACAATTTACAGTTGTAAACTGAGCCTTGAAAACAAGTTTGATACTTTTAAAATTAGAAGATATTAATTATTTTAAGAAGGCTGGCCCACTGAAGAAATTCTTTAAACACATCCCATAATTAATGCTAAGAGCTACAAATAAGTAGGTAAGCTACATGGAATTATCTTATTCAACATCTGCACATATTTCATTTTTCTGTGTGTTTGTTTTCAATTACATTCAAGTGAACATTCATGGAAGTGCTTAATTACAAATGCTGCAGACGTTTAATGATGACATTTAATCTGGAGAATATGAAAGTAGTTATACCTAAACAAACAAAAACATTCTTCACAAATAATATTTCCTTATTTTTAATTATCCAGATATTTTAAAATAACATTTTTTTCTAACAATAGTAAGTATAAATGGAGCTGTTATTAAAGCTTTATTCCTTTAAGTCTTTAGGAAATCCTTAACATAAGGCAAATTGATAAAATGGGTAAGTCTAAACAGTAGGACCCTAGAGCAGTTCCCAGCTCTTATGTTCAAGCGCATAGCCTGGCCACATACTAATTGTACATTAGGACTAAACCTGGGTGCATACTTTCTGGTGTGTGTCAAAAAAACCTGCAGGTGCAGAATGGAACTGCAATATGTATGAATAATTGGGAATCAGGACTGCAGGGCATATTGCAAAATGCATTTGCCTTTCAACTAGGATATAGCCAGAGAGAATCCAGTACCAATGTATGTGTTGAAGTTAACACGGCTCAGAGATCCATGTTAGTAAACTGTGAAAAACCTGTTCTCCCTAGGCCATTAAGTGAGAAAAGTGCAGTGAGACGTCATCAGAGCTAGCTCTCTCAAGCTCTTGAGCTTTCTTGCCTGTCTAGCTTTGGTAGCATGGAGCTCAGTGTCAGATGATTTCCCTTATGCTAGTACTATGACTGCAGTATAGGCATATCCATTTTTTAAGAAGTGTGTAGTTTGGTTTTGCCCCTGTTTTTCAGGGAGTGGAATTCTCCCACCCGCAAGAGGACAGTACCTATGGCCATCTAGAGTTTCTAAGCCTAAATAAAGCCTGGTTTAATTAGCAACTATTCCGCTGTGATGTTTCCAACCACTTTCTTATGCTTATATGTTGTGTTATACCTAGAATGGCAAAGCAGCAAAGTAAAGCAACAAATAGGCCTTTTTGGAGGATATATCAGA